TCTGTGAAAGTTATCCCTGTAATGATTCACAATTTTAAATGTGAATTGTTAGAGAACTAGTGTAAGTAAAGGATTAAGAACAAGGCATTACAAGCCAACAGTTAACACATGATGATAGTGGTCCTGATGATATTTAAGGTGTTTAACAAGTTCATTCTGCTAGCAGTATACAAACTTTTCAGTCCTGTATTCTTTTGTTTACCTGCAGCAATCAGAACAAGACTGGGTGAGCATTCCACACTGGAGAAGTGACCATGCATAGAGCACTCCATGCTGGAACGAAGGATCTACAGTCTTTTTATGGCCCAGGTTCTAGGCTTTGTATACTGAAGTGAAGAAGTGTTGCAACACCATGGGGCTGAATATTTAACAGTAGCTCTCTCCTGCTAACTTTCTTGCTGAATTAGTGTGTAATTATAAATACATGTATTGATAACATGTATATGGTTCTATTTTTATTTGCTTGCTTTAGAAGAAGAAAAGTGCATACAACTTTGAATCACCAACATGGGCTACTGTGTTAATTTTAAACAAGTTGTAGAATTTCACTATCAACCTTCCTAAGATACTTGTGCAGATTTTTTGCATGTGTAAAAAGCACAAGAGACAAATGCACATATAGCATACTGTATGTGCTTTATATGCACAAAAATCTGTGTGGTATTTTGGGGATGTTGAAAGGAGTGGCTTCAGTAAAACCTAGGTAACTTGTTGGCAGGTTTTGTTTTGCTTTGTATAATCACAGTTCATTGCTGCTGGTTTCTATAATGAATCATCTTGTTACATAAAATGCCAGTTAATATCTGAGGGCTGTCGATATCCTTATGACTTTGCCTTTTCTATTGTCTTACTCTTATGACGATCTTTAGTTCTGAAGGAGTAAGAGTGTGAAAAGCTTTATTTTTTCCAGATATCTTTATATTTCTATTGTACTTTTTAGTTATGTAATATGTGCTGCAGAATTTTTGTTTTAAAACATGATATAGAAATACCTAGAAAGATTCTGTATGAGAGGGCAAAGGACTGCCTAAAACCTAGAAGACATCTGTCCATGCTTTCTGTGGACTACTTTCTTGGATAATACTTGGGGATTTTTCAAAACTGTGAGAAGGTACACTATAATATTTATTGAAATAATTTGGATTACATAAAGCAACATTCCCAGTCTCGGTTGAGGACGAGTACATTATTTTCAGATCCTGCATGTGTTTTCCTCATCTCAATAAAGCTGTGCTATGAGGTTCATGTAGAAAAATTGCCTCTTGATCAAAAACCCATCAGAGCTATAAGAATGCATAGGTTTTACTGGAAAGTTCCCTTTAGCTGCTGTGAAAATTTAAATGTCAGATGTTTCTCTGCCTTTGATTCTGGAGATACTTGTTAGGAGCAGACAGTGTTGGGCTAGTACTGACTGTGAGGTCTTTTATCCATGTCCTGTAGTTGGAAACTCTTCAGAGGCTGCTTGGTGTTTCACTAAACTGTGTATCTTGAGGAAAAAAGTTGCAGATATATTTTCTTTAAAAGAAAGTTGAAAGTCAAATTTATTTGATACAGTGTGCTAGGTGCCTGAAAAGAGATATAATACAGTAACTTAGTGAAGATTTGGTAAATGAGTAAATGTGATCTGCACAGTATTGAAAAATTTCTCTGTTCATCTTCTCTGTAGAGATGAAACCGTACCTAACACATGATTACACACGCATGCAGATTTCATGCTTCATAACTCTTCCCTTTTTATTTGCCTTTCTCTAATGGTGTGCATGGAATATGCCTTATTACAGAGTTATTCTGTTCATTTGAATATGTAGAAAAGTGCCTATATGGTAATGTTAGCAAGGCAAATAAGATGAAAATTTGTACATCTTTACTATATCACCAGTGAGCATTTTATATACCAACTTTAAAAAACAAAATCTTATACCTCAAATGTATTTCATCTTTTTACAATCAACCAAGCAGTGGTACATTCCACCACAGCCACTGATCAGAACTTAACAAAAAAGTCCAAAATATAAACTCCTTATTTGCCGTTTCTGGTAATTGTTGGAACACGGACAAGTTTATTAATTTAATAGGATAGCTTTATTTTACAAAGGTATGGAAAGTTTACAAAGCAGTATATAAACTTATATCATTAGTTGCATTTGCACTAAATGTGATGTACTTTTGCGAATTATTCTGTAAATAAAATGACACTACAGATACTATTTGTAAAGAGTATGTTTTACTTTTAGATAAAGGCACTGGTACTTCACTGCAGCTAGCCCTGCCCAATCAGATTTGTAAGAGGCTTTTCAAGGACTATGGAAGGAGTTACGTGACTGAGAAATCATTATTAATGGACCTCTGAAAAAGTAATCTCAAAAGGCTGGAGGCCTCTCATATTGTCTTTGTGTGAGTAGCCATTAGAGCCTTTCTTCTGGAGGGGATGTTGCTTTTATGGTTTTTCACAATTTGCCTTGTCTCTTGAGCCATCCCTCTTGTCAGTCACTGCCAGGTCTGTGTGCTCTCGAGTTCACTTCCTCCTGTTAACAGATAGGAGTGTTAACACAGCTGTGGTGGTCTTTGCAGAAGCAGCTTCTGACTCTGGAATGGTTGTTTTGTAAGCTGAACTAGTTCAAAAGGCTGAAAATGCAGCAATCATCAAATACATCAGATGCATCTTTGGATATCTGCATCTGTTTGGGGAATTTAGATGTTGGCAAACTAGATCTGAAGGATATGACTTGATAGAACTTGTACTGGGAATGAAGATGAGATGGTCATTGTTACTCTGTCTGAGAACCTGAAAATCTTTGACAAATTTATCTGTGAAAAATGTGATGCACTTTGAAAAAAATTTACCTTTCACTTAATTGGGCTGAGCTGGCTTATCTGAAGTTGTGCAGATTCTCTTTAATCAGATTGTCCACCTGTATTTTTGTCAAGTTGTACAGATGCTGTATTTGAATTGCCGCTGTTCATTTACAGACTTAAAACATGAATCGTATTTTTGAGTACCTTGAGTGTGTAGAGTTGTAACTGTTCTATAATAGCTTTATGATCCTAATGATAAGTTTTAAAAATTAAAAGAAGTTGGCTCTTACATGTTACAATCACAAATTTAAAACCAGTATTTAAAATTTAAAAGTATTAAAAATTATGAAGAAAAATCTTGGCTCCTCGTTGTTTTTAACTTTCCAATGTTCAGAGAAATCTTAACCTTTTAACCAACTTTTAAATCATGAATGAATTTATATACAATATTCTAGTGCAAGGAAAACATTTAACAGGAAAGCAGTTCACTTGAGTTATTGAGATCACTTCTAGACTATGTCAGCTCTTCATTTGTATGGAATAACAAGATTCTGGGAGCTTCCATAGGAAGAACTTAGGAAAACTAAGATGTACCGAAGCATAAACTTACGGCTTTTCCAAAGTAAGAGTAATTTTTACTGAGATAAGCTTCCATAAGCAATTTTTTAAGAGAAGAAATAGGTGATGCCTAATAGATCAATAACAATCCTACCTTTATTTGTTACACAGTGCTTTCTGCTTCTTTATATAGCAATCAGGAAAATTGTAGAAGCGTTACAGCTATGCGGGACTGGAGGAACAGTTTGAAGTAACAGAAGGCATTACTTGAACAGAAAGAAAACTTAAGTTCTGCTGTTTCAGGCCTCTTGTAATATATTGCAAAAAATAGAGTCCTACAGTAATCTCTACCTTGGAGAATGCAGCTATTTTACCTGGCAAAAAGAAATTCCCCCCACCCCCCCGCAGAAAAAAAAAAAAAAAAAAAACACATTTCGCATTCATGGTACCATAACTTACGTGCATAATTTAAAAATTACATACTTTCCTGTAAAGAGAGGTTGAGCATTTCTGTGTAACTACAGTATCATTTGACCCTGGATGATGAATGGTAATTAGAGCTATGACACACAATTTACTGGTGTGTATTACAAACACTAATCATCTTCTGTCTCCACCTTTGACAAGCTAAGTTTTATAGGAGAAAAATACATTTTGTTATTAAAAAGGGACACACTTCGAGCATTAGCAACCTGAAAGTGTCCTCAGCTGTAGCCATTGATGCAGTAAGCTCCTCTCTCTGCACACCTGCCTCTTTTATGTATGCACTACAGCCAGCATAAGGAAGCCTGGTACTGAGGATTGCTGCAATTTTCAGGGTATAAACTCATTCTCCTTAAAAATAAAAACTTTTTTATTATTTATTATTTTGGATCAGTTGTTAGACCTATTGTCATCCACAAGACTTCCAAACTTTTGTGTGCCAAGAGATAAGCCACAGATTGTACAAGTCTGTAGCCAGCGATTTGTGACCAGTGCTGAGTGGCAAAATATGACAGCAGCCCTGACAATTCCCATTTGATGGGATAAGATGCCACTCAACCGTGCAGCTGCCTGGCACATGCAGCTCCTAGGAAGTTAAGCCCTGTATATGAGGCCAGGATGGTGTGCTGCCTTGGTGAGGGCAAGTCATTCCCAAGTATGAACAGAACTGCAGGTGTGTTTGTACCCTCCAGAAAATACTTGTAATCAAGGTAACGAGCAGTCACACTGGTGATGCCTCACTGCTGCCCTGCTGGACATCACTGCTCTGTCTTCAGCCTGAGGGTGCTCAAGTACCAGCCCAGTGCTCAAGGCTTCCCCACGCCCCACACTGCAGCCCTGATGCAGTTGAAAATGTAGCTATTTAAAACCTTTTCAAGCTTCTGAGAGTGGCCCCTGCCTTTAGTTGTTTCATAAAGCAGTTGGGGTGGCAATGTTTCTGACGGAGGTTAGAACACTTCAGCAGTGGGTAAAATGGTTGTCATCTGTAAGGAGCCTGAGAAATTTAAATTAGCTCTTTATCTTTCCTGACCTTTATTTGACTGAACTGTGTTTGAAAACCCTCAAACTTAATTCAAATAACACTGAATTATCTCAGCAATACTCCTACTTTCAAGAGACATGCTAAGCAAAATCATCAGTAATTCGACTAGCAGCTGCTAATTTGCTTGTAATACATTTTTAATGAAAAATTGTGAATAATTTTTTAAATACAAAGGACTTAACATTTCAGCTGTGAGAAATCCAGTAATAAAAAGTACCTGGTAATTTACTTCCTCATTAATTAGGATTATCCTAACCAATTCCAATGAAAATAATGGAAGACCATTAAAAGATGGGAAAAACCACTTGCAAATGTTAATATTACTAGATTTTCTTCTACTTCTAACTTCGGTTACATCATAAGAAACAGTTTCCCTAACAAGTACCTGTTTCTGTCACATAAGCTTTGGTGAAGAGGTGTACAGTTAGCTGCCCTTTTATGCAGCAGTTTCTGTGTTTATGCTTGTGTGAAACAGCATCTCCTGCATTAAACAGTATTAACTTCCTCTATTACTGAAAAGTTTTGGATGACTAAGTAGGATACACAAATTGTGCTTTAAAAATCTTAAGACAGCAGTGGGATCTGAGTACACGGAGGGATGAATTCCAGTAAGTCTGACATTTTTAGACTGTTAGGCAATAGGCTTTTAAAGTTATCTCCCATGCAAAAGAAAGAACACTATGGGTATTAACATTTACTGATTTTTTTAACAGTGCTAATTTGAAGTGTCCACTTCTGCTCATATTCACAAGTGAAAGAAAAAAACACTCAGGAATTGCAGCTGCCAAAACTGATACATAGTACTTTATTCCCTTCTCCCTGTTTTGATTTGCCCACAAAACGCTTTTTAGAAAAACATCATTTTCTGAAACACAAAACCAGTGCCTTAATGCCCCAGACTGTCAATCACATTAGTCTTTTGGGGTCAATTTTCTCCAGGTGTACTAGAGGCTTCAGCTGCTCAGCAAAGTTCCTCATGTCATCAGAAACAATGTCCTGCCCTGCTGGCGCAACGACATTGAGCTCCACCAAGTAGGAGAGGGAGAGCGGCTCGATGCTCTCTGTGTTTCCTGGCATCAGTATACGGAAGATCTTGTACACCATGATCTTCATGATGCCCTTGCGGAATACGTGCCCTTTGGCCACGAACTCGTGGTCCATGCGGAAGCCCATCTCCACCAGGAAGTCCGTCAGGTTGTCGGAGGTGGCGATGTCCACGCAGTTTCGCACCAGCGCGTGGCGGTTCTTGTCGCCTATTTCGGGCTGTCCCAGGTAGCGCAGGTGCCAGGGCATCCCGCTCTTGTCCATGGAGCGCCGGGCGCGCAGCACGAAGGGGCTGGCCTGCTGCCCCTTCAGCAGGAACACCATCTCGTGGTCCAGGAAGGTCTCGGGCTCCATGTTGTCGCACAGCCCGCGCAGCCGGTGCAGGAGGCTCTCCAGGCTCTGGTCCAGCACGCTCCCTGCGGAGACAGCGCCGCGACCGTCGCCTCGCACGGGCCGAGCTGGGCTCCGCACGCGGCGCGCCCGCCCCAGCGCCTTCCGGCCCGCCCGTGCGCGGCGCCAGCCCCCCACCCGCTGCTTGGTCCCGCCGCGCCTACCTTGGAGCAGGTACTCCATCATGTTGATGGTGCCGCCCGTGACGGGCATCATGGTCACCGGCGGCGCCTCCATCGCGCTGCGCTCCGGCCCCGCGGCCCCGCCGGCAGCGCCGCGCAGAGCGGCGGCAGCGCCCCCTAACGGCCCGGCGGGCGGGGGC